ATGATGTGGAAGCTTTAAAATGATAATGTGGATGTCTTATGTGCAGACAAAAATGTGTTATTTTATATATATATATATTGATTTTTTTAAAGAAGATCAAAAGAATTTGTGTATTTAAAGACGAATTGGAGAGAGATGAAATTCGCTCTCAAACTGATCACACAAAAAAAATAGTGGTCTAAAGAGGAAGATAGATCATGATTGTATCATCGGCAGCAAATTTTTCCGGCGTGAACCGGGCTCCAACTCAGGCCAACATGGTCACTCCATTCACCGATGCAAAACCAACTACTATATATCACTTCACTGGCTAGTAATGGTGACAGAGTCCATTGCATGCATGTCCATTATAGATTCCTAAACATATACTCCACCAGTATTGAAGTCATATAGTTTGAGAGGTAACCAATTAAGTAAATCAATATACTCACGAGTGGTTCAAAATTATAGCCACGGTAGGAAGTGTAATGGGTAACGTAGGTGGAGGCGTGGAGCAGAGTTTTAAAAGTGTGTCCAAGATGCAAATGCACGAGGTCTAAAATATTGTTCTTTATGCATAAAGCCCCTATTTTTTTCTGCTCAGATTGAAAGTTACCACCAATGCAATATTCTTAACCACAAGATTTCGACTCTACGTCCTTGTAAAAAGTTGAGAAAATGTTAGTGAACTCTATTGGAAATAAGAAAAAAAAATCTGATTAAAAAAAAAAAGAACAGTCTTTTTATTAAAAATATAGCTTAAGACATTGTTTTTACTAGACCCGAATGAGAGATGATTTAGTAAAATTATTTGTATATATTCTCAAATCCCAATAAGCTCTACAATTGTAGATATCAATGTCTTACATGTTTTTGTTCGGATGCACGACTTCGTCTCAAGTGTCAAAGAAAGTGCAAGAAAGAACACCCCAACGCCTTTATCTGAATCATATGCGCAGCAAGTCAATGTCATTGCCAACAACCCTCCCCACTTTTAAATTCACACGACTAAGATAAGGGCAAAGATTCATTCTTCTCCTCTTGTTTCTTGTTTTATTTATTAATCTATTCTATCGTTGTAAAAAATTCAATTTGGAACAACATATATAGCAAGTGGAGGGTGATCTAGTAGTCTTAAGAGTAAAAACTCAAGTTCAAGGTCACTAGTTCAACGCCACTTGGGAGAGGTGATTTACGCCTTAAATATGGTATTATCAATGACTGCCCCGAACACCGTAAGAGACTATGGATCAAAGATCCGAAACTTCCACGGTTTATAAAAA